GATGTAATCTATGCAGAAATAGAAGTACAATGATGTACACCTGAAATTTTTACAATGTTATAAACCAATGTTACTGCAATAAACAAAAAATTAAAATAAATAAATAAATAATAATAATAATAATTAGGAGGTAATGAATTTTGAGTATTTATCATCTTTATTTTTTAATACAACATTTAACTGTGAGTTATACAATTTAATTTTCAATGGTGGTTGTGTTTAATGAGTGGCTTGCAAAATTTCTGGAAATATTACAGGCAGCTCTTGCAAGCAGATACAGGCAGGCTCCCACACACCACTGCAAATATCTCACTTGATATTTTATAAGGGCATGTCTTTTTTCTTTTTGTTTTCATTGAAGCCATTGAAAATTCACCTCATTCCCATCTGTGCCACAAACAATAACCATGCTTTTAGGTTAGCAGGTTATGCAAATATGTAATGAATAAAACATTATATAAGAAAAAAAAGATAGAGCAGGAGCTCTATCTGGGTCAATTAATTCTGCCCAGCCTCCCCCAACTTGGACAATACTCTCTTCATGCATTCATTTTACTAGTGTTTTTCCATAGGGTCACCTATAAAAACTACTCAATCAATCATATACTCAAACAATGACCAAATGGACGACTATACACAATTCTCATGGCAAATGTGATAAGAACCATATTTCATCTTACTTAACCACTCTCTTCCTTGGTTTTCTTTTCTACGAAATGCGGAAGAGGTCACTGCTGACTTCAATTTTACAAGAAATTAAGTGTAGAGATAAGAAGGCTCCAACTTATGTTCTAAGAAGCAATTGAGCATTCCGTAATGCTTTGCAACCGCCCTCCAAAAGTAATTCACTAGTATTTCGTTTTACTGGAAAAGAGAAATGGGAGAGTGAATTGGTGCTTTCTCCCTTGAAAGAAAATTCCCTTCTTTGGGCTTTCCCTGAGTAATAATGAATAGCCTCTACATGTATATAGCATTTTAGAACTTTTAAAGTGACACCCTACATTTGCACATCAAAATGTAAATATAGTTGACAAAAATTCCCAGGAATTCTCCTAAGAAATAAACTCAAAACAAAATACTTTTGTATGAAGATATTAATCACGATAGAGAGAAGATCATTTTGCCTCATTTCAGCACTTATTCAACTTACCATCTCAGTGCTTGGGGTCTTGGTAGGAGAGTTCTGGCTTAACAGCTCCCAAATGCTCACCTGTAGAATAATTGCCTCCAAGTCACTTGGGGGAAAAGGGTTTGCTTTTGTTATCACACAGATTCCTGGAGCTCACTCTAGGGCTGGGGTGCGATACGTGAGAATCGCTATTTTTGAAAAGCTCCCCTAGTGGTTTTGATGTCCAGCCAGCTTTAGGAACTACATTTCCAGGCCGGAAACAGACAAAACAAATCATCTGTGAACCATGGCCCACATCCGGGGAACAGTACGACAACTTCTTATGCAAGGCATCAAGAAGTTACTCAGGGCCTTCAAGCAGCTGCTAGAGTCAATGACTAAAGAGCAACAGAGGAGGATCCTTTGTTTCTGGCACTCTCCCACCTCCCTCTATTCACCCTTTCCATCTCTGACACCCCTCCTTGCTCTCACTGCCCACCCCAGCACCCAACACTGTCATGCTGCCTTCCAGCATGCTCCACTTTGGCACCCCATCCTGATTTGTGTCTCCCTCTTTCCATACACAAAGCCCTAAAATTTCCTCCCTTATGATATTAGTGGGGCTCTAGCAAGAAAAACAATATTACTACTTGAAAAAAGTAATCTGCACATATGATTGAAAATCCCCTGCATAATGAACATACTGTCCGTATTTGCATTTTTTAAAGGGGGCTTACTAAACCAAAAGAATCTCTAATCTGGAAAGTGGAATGGGACAGCAGGATGTTTTTTAATCTTGGCTTTCACCCAGACCCAAGCATCCAGAACCCAAATAAACACTTTGAGCACTCATTGTCAAAATGGTTCCAACTCCTGAATAGAAATGGATTTTTTAGCTGTGCGTTGCTAGCACTAAAATTAAAATATATCATAAAATTAAATAACTTAATTTATGCTGGCCAAGAAAGAAGAGTTATCCTCTCACCTCTAATTCCAAGCACTCTATAATTCCACTCAAAGCATTCAGAGAGCGTCAGCCACAGAAGGCCACAAATAACAAAGCAGTTACTCTGAGAGATGTCATAAGCCTGAGAACCTGATTTGGAAATGCTTTAAAAATCAGTTTCTAAGCTTGTTTTCCTTTTTTCATATGTATTATCACTATAAAACATCCAACCCTGTGCCTAGTCCATACTTGGTGCTCAAAAAATATTAATTCCCAGCCTCTACCTGTCACCTCCACTTTCCTTTGAAAGGAATATTGGCATTAAAAAAGTTACTTGACAGATATCTTGTTCCCAAACCAGGGACCATACCATCTTCATTCTAGTGTCCCCAGCCTTAATAAGATTCATAATAGCTACATTTATTGAGAGTTTATTTTATGCCAGGCACTAGGCTAAATGCTTTACATATTTTTATCTCATTTTATCCCTAAACCACCCTCTGAAGTAGGTATTTTCAGTGATTTTTAGACCTACTTTACAGATTATTTTTTTTAAATCTGAGGATTGAAGAAGTAATGTGTCTGAGGTTCCCACAGCTCAGAAGTGATAGCACCAGGATTCAACACAAGGCAATCTGGCTCCAAAGTCTGGATTCTTATTCACCGTACTGTATTTTTGTTATTATATGGATGCAGATATATCACAATCCAGAAAAGAAAGTGCTCCGGATCATTAGGAAAAGAGCAGCAGCAAATCCCTAACTTCTCATTTAGACACGCAAAGGAAGTAAGACATATTTCATGGAATTTTTGGACAGGTTTTAAAGAATGGAGACTTGCTTGTAATTGGTCAACCAACTAGTCCTCCCAAGAGGAAGGTCACTTTAATTACCAGCTGGTTGAAGGGTCTCCTTAAAATGTAGTAACCAGAAATGGAGGTCTTAACAGGTACCCCCAGCCACACAAACCTTTCTCTGCATAAATGGTGTACTAAGCGAAGACAGTAGAGGACAAGTAGAGGGTCACAGACGTGGAGGTAAAGTAGCCCAAGGATGAAGAGGCAAGGGTCTCCAGGCCCCTTCTCACATGGAATTCTGTTATAGCTGTAAAGCTGAGAAAGAGGAGCCTAAGGGCAGAAGAAGACATGAAAACTACTGAATGGAGTCTGTTCTCCTCAGCTGCCTCTCAAGGTCCTCTATAACCTGTCTACACCCTAATCTTCCTAGCTTATTTCCTGCCAATGTGTAAAACAAACTTTCTTCTTTTCTCCCCAACTGGGCTGGTCACCTCCCAGTCAGTCTCACCTTTGTGCCTTTGCCCACACAGTCATCTCAGAGTAAAATAACCTTTCCCTTCTCTATCTACTCAAATCTGATATCTTTCCAAGGCCCACATCTTCTAGGCTACTCTGGCTTACCCTCAAGTCCCCTTCTTGGAATTCCTGTAACTCTTACAGCCTATGCCACTCCATTCATCACTTAATTCCCATTTTGCATTGCTTCATAAATTTTAGTTCTTACCACGATTACTAGATTATAAGGTCCCTCAAAGTAGAGAATTCTTTGTATTTCTCTTATACCCTCCACAGCACCAGCTTAGAACCAATTAAGTTATCCTGACTACTGGTTGCTTGCTTGAATATTTCAATGGCAGCTTTAATTTAGTAAAGACCATAAAACCAGTGATTTCCCAAACTTTATTTAGGTACAACCCAGGCTACTGATTGGTAACTCACGGCATGTCTCCAAATCAAACCACCACAGATACTAAATTTAATTTAACGTAAACATATATACTTATACATAATATACCACTTTTAGAAAGAGGACTTAAGCATTGGCAATAGGTGAAACAAATAAGCTGGGAATTCTGACCCGAATCTATATCATTTGGATTTTGGTTCTGTTTCTTTTCTGAATTAGAAAATTTTAAAGCTCATATTTGCACATCTCAGAGGATCTTTAGATTTTCTTCATCAAATATAGGGTGATATTTATAAACTACCCAAACATTTGAGCTCAGTCATAGTCAATCACAAGCATGTGAATTCTCTAGGAAAATACCTGGCAAACCAAAAAGCCAACTATTATAATTTTTACTGTTTCAAAAACTATATGCGTCTTGTTAGGACGGGGCGGGGGGGTAGTTAGATATCAGAACAACTCCCCTTTCCCCCATAACATGGTTTCATACTTCACAACAGGTAGAACAGGGTAATTACTATGTTTAGCCTAGAGTAAAAGCTAAATAAAATTAGAAAGATTTCTTTTGACATTGAAGAAATATTTTTAAAGAAGCAAAAGTCTTACCTGTTGTAGAATGCCGAAGAAATTTCTTGACACCAAAATGACTGACTCCGGAAGTCAAATTTGTTCAGTGCAGGTAAGTAAAAACAAAAGCAGCCCAAGCCCTTTCACTACTGTGATTTCCTTCTAAAGTCAACCTTTCCTTCTTCCGCAAGAATATAACTGCTCACCTTGGAAGAACTAAAAATGTAAGAACCAGGCTGGTAGAGAATTCAACCCAAGATGGTCGGGTTGAGTGTGCGTGGTGACTGGGGCAGCAGGAACAATCCAAATGTGACAAAAGAGGTTAGCAAGTTCCTGTGCAGAAGTCAATTTCCTGTAGCTGGTTCTCCGAAGAAGGGGTTTCATTTGTGTGGGTTTAGTGCTGTGTATGTGTGTGCACGTGCGTTTCTCTCCATGATAATATGAAAACTTCCCCAGATAAAAGGCAGAATAAGGCCTTTGCTACATGGCTGGATTTGTGTTTAATTTATCAATCCCCCAGGACCATTTCCCTCTCCGCCACTCCCCCATTTCCCACCAGCAAATCACCTACATAAAACCGAGGACAGGAAGAGTTAAAAACCAAGATGATTCCTTAAGGAAGTGAAATAAACAAAAAAGAAAAAAAGTCTACCCCACTGACGGGTCTTGGTTAATTTAAGCTTAGGAAAAAGCACCTTAGAATTTACGTGTCGGCTTGGTGGGCATGCTAACCATGGAGGGAAAATGGTAGGTGGGTGGTTTGCTTTGCTTCGCTTTATTAATAACTACCAAATAATAATTCAGAAAGAACAGACTCAGCCATAGCGGGAATTCAAACAGCCTGGCCATGCAGTCACCCTCTTATGAACCGGCACCTGTGTTGTGAGGTTCGTGACTATGAGTTGTTTTCAGACTCCTCAGAGTTTCATTATTTGCCTCCAAACACAAATTTACTTGTTTTGTCGTTTGGCGCAATCCAGGTGTAGAGGCCATATTTAGATTATGGCTGAGTTGCCTAAACCAACAAATTTAACTTTCATGATGTGGTCACAATCCCCCCACACCTCAAATCCCTGAATAATCGTAAATGCTACTGCCCAGAGTGAAATCTTGGTCAAACTGCCTACGTGCCATAGAGATAAAGTCAATTCCATTCAACAAACATTTATAAAGCTCCTACTATGTGTAAGATCCAGTGCTGTGTGCCGGGGGGGCAGAGGGGGGCACAAAGATGAACGAGATGGAATCTCTCACTCATAATGGTCAAAATCAAGTGAAGGAGAAAGACACAGACATAAAGGAGATTCTGTGAGTCAGGATCTATTTACAAATCCCACACGAAAAATCCTGGGACACCAGAGTCAGGTAAAAGGAAAGTGTGTGTAACCATTTTGCCAGTTAAAATAGCCGTTGAACGTTGACAAGGATTCTCTCATATTATTCCTTGGCTGGCTTCCAGGAGGCCCCACAGACCAGTATGCATCATTTGAGAGCCATCTTCATCATTGCCTACTCAGAATCCTGTTATGTGCCTGAGACTGGGCACTGAAGAAAAGCACAAAGACCAAGACAGACATATTCCCTGTCCTCGCAGCACCTACATCCTAGTGAGGGGAAGACAAACAGAAGCATTCAAATAAATGCAATAATTACAAATTGTAGTAACTATTACAAAAGAATCAGAGAAGAAGCTGAGCTAGAGAGCAAGACAATATCTACATCCCAGAAGTGGTCAAGGAGGGCCTCTTTGAACAGCTGACATTTAAGCTGAGATCTAAGACCGGGACTCTCAGCCCGTCTGAGAATGAGAATCGTCTGAGAAACTTTTGAAAAATACCAGTACCTAGGCCCCAATCCCAGAGATTCTGATTTAACTTGTCTGGGTTGGGACCTGGGCATCAATATAAACTCCCCGGATCATTCTAATGTGCCACTGCTGCTCCAATGACAAGGAGCCTGGGGAGAGTAGGAGGAAGGACATTCCATGCAGAGGCAATAGCATATGCAAAGTCCCTGAAATGGGAAAGAGCTGGGCATGTTCAAGGGAGTGAAAGAGGATTAATACATCTGGTGTGTAGTGATGCCAGGAAGAAACAGTGCAAGATGAGCATTCTCAGAGATGGGCACACATTTACTAAGCCCTTAAGAGACTCTTACATGAACCTAACAGTCAATTTATTAAAGTGCAGTAAGAACTTAATCTGTCAGGTGAGATCCTTGAGCCCTCTGATGAACAAATTATCTCCTTCGAGAAAATTCTCTGTGGAAAGCCTGATCACCATCATGATATTGTTAGGTAAGCAGAACATATGGCTGGTGGATACTTTGTTTATTTACCTCTGGTTTTGTTCATCGAAAGATTTAGGGCAGCTTATAATGATACATACACCTTAGCAAGAGAAAACCAATTAAAAACAAGAAATGAAAAGATGAGGCCAAGAGAAATGAAGACAAAAATTAAGCTAAAACCAGGACGGAGGTTGACAAAGAAAATGTATCCCAAGTGGTTTTAAGCTTTTAAGCAACTAGTATGAAGCAACAAACACCACCACATAGAACATTGAATGCCCGCTGAATAAAATGAGTGTATTGCTCAGGATGGTGAGGTCTTCCTGGCTTCTTGGTGCTGAGACTAAAGAGAAACTTGGCACCCAGATTCTCACAGAGACGACATCATGACTGAAGTGAAACACCATCCTTAGACTAAACCCAGCCAGCGGCAAGTTTTGTAAGGTGGTTCATTACATTTTTCCTCAATGTAGGCTAATTTGATCTCACCAAAGAGTTGGCTAAAAGCAACCCCAGGGTACACGTAAAGGAGGGTGTGCTGGGGGATTAATACAGTGTGTGCTGTTCTAGGACGCGGCTTTGATGCGCCAATTTAATGCAGAGATGAAGATCGGCTTCAGACATGCTTCAGAAAATTCAGGATAAAAGAGTTTTCTCATCTGAGGTTCTAAAAGATTTGGGGCGGCGAAGAGTTCAAAATTGGTTGTACTTCCAGCAAGAGATCCAGTGGTTTTCTCAGCGTCTCAGTGTCCCTTTGAGAGAGCAGAGGATCGGGCAAGGACAGCTGCCTGCATGGAAGCCGCCCTCCACCTCCAGGAGAAGATGAGACGAGACTCTGCCTGTTAGGAAACAAAGCAAGAGGCGCCACAGCATGGTTTATAAGTTCAGGGCCTCAGGCCTTGTACATTTTCTCCACAAAAGGGCATATGTGCTCCAGGGTCAGGATAGATGAGGCAGGTCCTCAGGCCCAAGTACTCCCACTCAGTCGTGGATGGTGTTGGGAACGGCATCACCATGTCTGGCTGCAAGATTGGCTGACCACCTTTCCTCTTCTGATGGACTTGCTCTCTGTGTCTATAATTGTAGTTTTAGACCTTCTCATATAGTCAGGCTTTGTGCTTCCTCCTGCTCCTGACAGTGAGAAACAATCTTTCCTCTTGCCTCTTATACACCTCTAATCTTCACATGTAGTCTAATCTCAGAGGAGATTTTCTTGGGGTGGGTGAGGGGAGTTTGGGGACAGCTATGAACTTTCTTCCTTTCCTGGAAATCTCTCTTTTTGTTTCTCTCTCTCTCTCTCTCTTTCTCTCTTTCCTCCCCCCACCCCTACCCCGCACTTCATTCTCTTAACAGATAGGGGTAGTGGTGACGGGAGGAAGCAAATGACTGAAAAAACATGCACACAGGGGCCGGCCCAGTGGCCTAGTGGTTAAATTCAGCATGCTCTGCTTTGGGGGCCCAGGTTCAGTTTCTGGACGCAGACCTACACTGGTCAACGGCGGCCATGCTGTGGCGGCGACCCACATACAAAATAGAGGAAGATTGGCACAGATGTTAGCTCAGGGCGAATCTTCCTCAAGCAAAAAGAGGAAGATTGGCAACAGATGTTGGCTCGGGGCTAATCTTCCTCAGCAAAAAAAACAACAACAACAAAAAACATGCACATACAGACACACCCAAACCTCTCAGTATGTCAGTTCTGATGATATATACATATATATATACATATATACACATACATATAGTCCAGTCTTGGGATAAAAGTGGAGAAAAACCCCAGGGGATTCAGAGTGGCAGGAAGGAAAGAAACTATGGGTATGGAGTTCCTAGCAGGAAACAGACCCTTGTTATAAGCCATATTCCGGGAAGCCTTCCTTGAGGACCACCGGCCCCCACTGCAAGCCAGGTTTGGTGCCCTTTCATGAGCTCCCACAGCACCCTATGTTCACACTGCTGGAGCCCTCACCAAACAGTCCTGTAATGCCCTGTAATGTCCAGGTCAGAGGCCCTCGAGGCCCAGGGTCTGGCCTTGCTCACTGACGTATATCAGGCACTGCATAGTCAGTCACTCAAGAACCGTTTGCTGAATGATACCTTGATTCTCTCATCTAATCCTCACAATAGCCCTATGGGGTAAACATTTTTAAATATATTTTCCAGACAAGGAAACCTCAGCTGGTTAAATGATTTGCATGAAACTACATGGCCTATGAAAAGCAGAACAAAGATTCACCCCATCCATGTGCCCCGGCTCTTCACACCACCGCTGTCCCAACCAAGAGAGCTGGGCCGCAGAAGGGAGGGAGAGGCAGGCCAAGCCCCGAGTGCACAGGTCCATTTGCTGTCTCCTGAGCGCCCCTCCTCTGAGATTTCCAGGCAAACACAATGCACTAAAGGTTAAGATAGCTTTCCCCAAAAACACCTTCATTTGAAATGTCCTCTGATGTGGCAGAAGAACAGCTTATTTTCTCTTTAACCGTCTCCTAAGAACAACACCTCTTTTATTGAGGATTTTTAAATAATATGACAACTGTCAGCGTACCTTGAACTTATGCTTAAGTGGTATTCTTGCTCATTGCAAAGGTGCTCTGCCATTTATACCAGAGAGAACCCTTAATGACAATGGCAATTGTAATGAACAGTAAATCTTGGAAACTTTGCCATATCAATCATTTACTAAATTATTACTACCCTGGGTAGTAAGATGCCTTCCCTATTCTTACTATTAGCTTATTAACTGAAATGATATGGATTTAGTGGGTAGCTTTTAATGTTTATACAGACCCTCATTTGTGACATGCCACCTAATAAAATAAAATATGCCAGTGGGTTCTGAAGATGGGAAATATGTACTAAAGCCTTGTATGAATGCTTTGAGTTTCAAACCCAGGGCATTAGTCACACTGTAATTATTCTTACCCAGCTCCCCACTGAGTGATAAATAACTGTATTAAACCAAAAACATGCATTCCTTCTGATTGAGAGATTTCATGATGGGGATTGTAAAACGTTTGCTCTTTGCAAGAGAAAGAGCTTAATTCTGATGTATCACTTCCAGTGTAAAAATACATTCATATAAAATGCCCTTTAAAATTCTAAATATTAAAATATCTTAGAAATGCCACAGGCTAGAAATCACATGAATTATTTCCTCCTTATGCATTTTAATTCATTATAAACAACAGCTTCCCTAGCCGGATAAGAATATCATTTCAATCATCTAGCTTCCTTCTTATAGCCATAACCATAAAAACATCATTTCCCCTGCTGTTATTCTCATCATCTATTTTCTCTTTAACTGTTTTAATGTAACGTAACATATTGCTTTTTGTTTCAGTGAATATTAGGTTCTCAGGATTCTCAACTGCCATTTTTATCCTGGTCTGTTTGCCCTGTATAACTGTGTTTATCTAGCAAACATTTACATCCTGGTTCTTTTTATTGCAGAGCCATAATTCATAACAATGCAGGGTCTTGTTCAGAAGATGATAGCATCCAAAGTAATCATTCAAGCTGTGGCTCTAAAGTTATGGTACAACTTTTTTTTTAACCGTCAGAGCAGAGCTGATGTAGTCAAATGACCATTACCCTTCAAAGTAGCCCCTTAGTAGCTGATGCACTTTTCCAACAGTGCAGACATTAGTCAAAGCACTCTTAGAACCTTTTTACAATACCCTTCAGAGACAGTTTAATAAACTACAAGAGAAAACCAGTATCACAGCGTTCTATTCGCAACTTGTTTTCGACTCAAAATATAACCTGGCTTGGTCACCCACCTTATTCACCGGATGCAGCTCCAAAGGGCTGTCTCCCAAAAATAAATCCACCCGAAAAGGACAAAGATTTGCTATCAATGAAGAAATTTAAAAGAACGTGCCTCGGGCTCTGAGAGCAAATCCAGAAGGGGAGTTTGAAACACAATGTAGGAGCAGCATCTTTGGGTCAAATGCACGAACTCTCGGGGGACTCCTGCAAAGTGCACAGCATTCACTCCGATGTAGAAATTCTGGTTTCTTTAAAAAAATGAAGAAGACCATCACTGCTTCTTCTCGCATTCATATCTTACCCGTTGTCCTGATAGGGATCTTCGGTTTGGGCACAAACATCACAGGGTAACTGCAACTCAGCACACCTGCTGAGAGCGGGGGTTGCAAACGTTTCAGTTATAAGGCAGAGCCCAGTGAGTGCTAACTTGCCATCTTTTCAGAATGACAGATCTCCCGCACAGTTCTGGAGGGAGCAGGTTGAAGCTTGTGCCCAAAGGCAAACTGAAATTTGGGGGGAAGTATATATTTGAATTCAGACAAAGCAAGATTCAATTCCTTGCTCTACTTATTAGCAAGGATGAGGCCCTGATCTTCCCATCTGGAAAATAGGTATAATAATATCTAACTTGGAAGGGTTTTGTACAAAAGCTGTATAGTCCTTGGAATATAGTAGGCACTCAATACATGGTGGCTGTTATTAACCACTCCTGTTTTGGACTTTTGCCTTCTGGAGGTTTTCCCCTCCATTCTTGCCCCCTCTTTAAATAATAACTGTTGAATCTCAGAATTAGAGAAGCTTTGCCAGTGCCCAAATTCTGGTTGAATAAAGTCATACAAGCTTACGCATCAGGCATAGGATTCTAACAGCATGTGTTTTTGTCTCAACAGTTTAAAAGGGTCTAGAAACTTTTTTTTTTTTTTTAAAGTTTTATTTATTTATTTATTTAGTGTGTGTGTGTGAGGAAGATCAGCCCTGAGCTAACATCCATGCCAATCTTCCCTTTTTTGCTGAGGAAGACTGGCCCTGGGCTAACATCCATGCCCATCTTCCTCGACTTTATATGGGACGCCGCCACAGCATGGCCTGACGAGCGGTGCGTTGGTGTGCGCCCAGGATCCGAACCCCGGGCCACCAGCATCGGAGCGCGCGCACTTAACCGCTATGCCATGGGGCCGGCCCTAGAAACTTTTAAATCAAGTTGTTAATGGTACTTTAGTCCTTATGCATAATCTGGACAATCACAGAATCTTCAGAAATGCCTTCTGAAGTCACCTGCTCACCACACTACAAACACCTTAAGACAGATGAGAATTTATCCTTTTCTTTCCCATTAAACAAATACTTATTGAACACTTGCTATAACATTTATTGAGCACTGTGCTAGGCGCTAGGGAGACAGCGGTGAGCAATAACAACCACAAAAATAAAGTAGCCTGCTCTCGTGAGTTTACATCTACTGGAGAGATAAGCAATGAACATGATCATTTAGTGACATAGTGGTTCCAGTGCACTAATTACGGAAAAGGAAAATAAAGCCGGGAAGAGGGATAGGAAGCATGAGTGGAGTGCATTTTTAAGTAGGGTGGTTAGGAAAGTCCTTGGTGAGAAGATGAGGGAGGAAGGTGTTTTTTTAAAGCATCCAAGAGCCATTTTAATGTTTAATGATCCTTAACATCCGCATACATCCCTAGGTTTAATGATCATTTGTCTTCTCCTCACTGGTGGGAGGCCTGCTTCCTCTTCTGCCAGTACCTGGGAGAGAGAGGAGCTGACCACCTAGCTCTATGTGGCAGGAAGGGGATCTTGGGCATGCTCACCTCCCAGCCCCAGCCCTGCACTTAACTGCTCACTCCACCTTTCTGGTCCTCTCTGAGTCTCTTCTCCGAATCCTCGTAAGTCATTTTCATGACGGACTGCTGACATCTAGAGTGAAATATGACCAGAGCTAAGAACCTAGTGGAAAATTCCAAGGTAGTAGTAGCTTTGTAAGACAGTGTCACAAAGCTGCTGTGTCCTTCAAGTGCTATTCTCTGCTCCCTGGGTCTTTTTAACCAAGTCATAATAATAACTTAATAATAATAATAGTCACACTGGCCTACCATTTATGGAGCACTCAATATGTGCCAGTTAGGCACTTTGTATGCATTTTCTTACTTAACCATATCCCAACAATTATGCAGTAGGGACCATTGTTATCTCCATTTGCAGAGGAGGAAACTGAGGCACAGAGACTATTTTGTTCAAGATCACACAGCAATAAATGGCACAGCCTGATTCCATAGTCCATCTTTGCCTTCCTTTATGATGGTAGCCAGTTGAATTTTGCCAATATCTTTGGTACCCGTGACTACAGGATACAGCTATATCACTTAAATATTATTTATTAGGTCTCTCACAACAGGTGGGTACCCTAACCTCCCAAGCCTGTTTGCCTGAATTCCACATGGCTCATTGATGAAGATTGATTTTAAATTTCAAAAGCTGCCATTATTCTCATCCAAAAAAAAAAACAGAAATAGTTCCTTTTACTCTCTCTCTGTTCCTTGCACTTTTAAAGGATAGTTCTTTGCCCCTTTTTGTCTTTTTTTTTTCCTAAGATGTTTCTCATTTCCTGCTTTAGTGTATAGCCATGAATTTTAGACACATTTGTTTTTAGATACTATTTTTATTAGCTATTGCCACCCTACAAATAGGCCAGAGGAATTTCACCCAGTACTGAATAGCTATACTGACAATAAGTAAAATTGGCATGTGTAAAAATGGCTTTCCTATGCACTCCTGAATAAAGTTCTGGAAGCTGTTACAGATATATACTGGTTTATAGAAGAGGCGTGGCACTGTCTTCTGAAAATCACACAAAACTAGAATTGATATGGCTTGTCAGTTCATAATCTGAACAAGTGGGTCTCTTAAATTAATAAAATATATCTTATAAGAACATATAATCAACACAAGGAGTCAAAAACAAGGTGACCAGTGGTGTTTTAATTGCAAATACCAGTTTTAAAATTTTTTGCACAAATGCCCAGAATGTGTGTAAATTTTTGGCTTTGGATGAATGTAGTTTTTGGTTTTCTTTTAGGATTCCATTCACAGTATTAAAAATGGTCAAGAAAATCAGCTGGGGATCTCTTTAAGCTCACGAGAAAGAAGCATACTCCTTAAGCTGGTGTTTACTTCAATGGAAAATTTCTATTTGATCTGCTGGCAAACCTGGAATAATTCGGCCAGAGCTTTGGAAAGCCAGGTTCAGATGAGCATATCCCTTGTTCTTTACCAATTAACTTCTTGTCTTGGAAAAATATCCACTTGCTCAAATGATAAATGTTGAGGCAACTAAGTAAAATTTTGAATTCCATTCACTTGATTACTGATGCAACCTTCATGAAGAGAACTAGCTTGAAACATCTGTGTGAAAGTTTGTACTTATTTATAAATTGTAACTAGGCCCATAGATAAAAACCAAAACAAGAAATCATGTCTTCGAGCTGAGACTTGACACCAGTTGGCATTGCTTCTCGGGAAAAATAGTTATGGACTCAATGAAAGTGTGGGAAGTAGAGGCAATCATTTTCTTCTAGAAGGTCCTGACTTCATTTCTTTGTTGCTGGTGGCTCAGTCTTAAGAAGCAGGCAATTTCAGCTAACTATTAATCAAAAAATATTTAACGATATGGGAACATGCTCACAATATGCTGTTAGGTGAACAAAGCAGGATACAAAACTAGAATTTGAATTCAACCCCTTTTATTACACATGCAAATGTTAAAAGAAGTAACCTCTGGGTCACAGGACACTAGTGATTTTTATGCTTTGCTTTTCTGTATTTCCCAAATTTCCTATAATAAGCATCTATCATTTATATGAACCAGCTGGGAAAATCGTTGTTGTTTTCTTTAACTTCATTGAGCAAGTCTACCTAAGTTTTCTCCAGAAACCCTTGTCACTGCTTCAGTCGCAATATGTTTTGCGTAACAACCAGTGATTTTATAGCAGTTGATTTTCAGAGAAGAATCACTGAACCACAGCTGAACCTTGCAAAGTCATCTTCCCCGTCACTCAGCCCATACATACAGGGTCACATTTAGATGATTCCAACCAGATGCAAATTCCACTTCCATATACACTCCAAAAATAAGGGATTCCAGAGGTTTTTGCTTTAAACCTCTTAGAAGTCCTATCTTAAACTTCCCTTAAAATGAAAATCATAGCTGGGAAATATATCCTAGGCTATCTAGTAGCTTTATCCTCTCATGGGAAAGATAAAGGAGTACTCAGATATAAGAGAGGGAGGTTTCTGGGAAACTTATTCACTGAGCTCAAAAAGAAAGAGGTAGTGGGAAATGCTCGATGCTTATTAGAGGAAAACATGTTTGTGACAAGTGCAGTCAACGATTGCAAGACCTGGTTTCAAACTAAACCTGCTATTTTCCTATTATTATTATTATTACCTAAATTATTATAGCTGTGCATTTTATTGAATCATTTAGGAGAAAGGCGAGTATTTTTGTAAATTCTCCTGGATGGGCACTTTCTGTTTAAATGACATTTAAAACTATGCATAAAATTTCAAGATTAGTCACAAATAAATAAATATTCTTTTTACTTTTTTTAACCACATAAACCTTTTAAAAAGCAAAATTTCTATTAAAACATTTTTTCCAAATAAAACTTTTAAGTTTTCAAATGTTTATCAAAAGCAAAATGGTTTTTATGATTTTGGGCAAACCTATCTCTATGGTATTTATTATTCAAAATATAAAGTAAAATTGATTTTGCTCTCTGTAATTACTGTCTTTTAAATTAATCTTCTAAATATAAAATAATGATACTTTTTAAAATGTTTTGAAAGAAAAATATTGAATTACTAAGTTTTCACTTTGAATTTTTGTCTTTCTGATTCAACTTACAACTTACAAAGTACTTTTACGTATATTATCATATTTGATCCTCACAAATCACTGTAAAATAACAAACGCCAGTATTATTATTATTCTCAGCAACTTCATTTTATAAATGAGAAAACTGAAGCTCAGAAAGGTTAAGCAACTTATGCAAGGCTAGATAGCCAGTGAGTAAGAGAACTCTCTAGATCAATTTACTTCTACAGCATTTTCCCTACCAGAAAACAAATTACTTTTCCAAACTGATTTATTAAAACACAATAAGAGG